CATCGGGTGCTGGTGTGTGAATTCCACCGTCCTCGACGTCCTCGCCGCCCCTGCCCGCGTTTCACAGACGGGGGCGTTGGGCACGCGAGGGTTTTCCTGCTCAAGGTCACACGTTTGGGGTGAAGTGGGAGACCGGCCAGGAAGGATGGTACTTCATTGCAATTGCCAAGGGAAGACGGGGCGTGTTGTGAATGTTTTCAAATGGCGCACAACACTGAGCCCTTGAGCCATTTTTGAGCGCACAGTTCTGTGGCATTCGGTGCATCCACGTTGTGGGTGGGATCAGCACCATCCATCGCAATTTTTTCTCCTCCCACAATGAAACTGTCCTTGATACCTCCCCATTCCGGGCTCTCCCTTCCCCCGGCACCCACCCTTCTGCTCTCTGTTTCAATTATTTGGGCCACTTGAGGGAGCCTCATGTGAGTAAAGCCACACAGTGTTTGTCTTTGGGGGTCTGGAAGAAGTTCAGCATAATGTTTTCGATTTTTCTTTTCTTTTGAGTCGGAGTCCCACTCTGTCACCCAGGCTGGAGTGCAGGGGCACGCTCACAGACACCGCAGCCTCAACCTGCTGGACTCAGGCGATCCATCCGCCTCAGGCTTCCAAGTAGCTGGAAGCACAAGCACGTGCCACCACACCTGGCTAGTTTTTTGATTTATTGTAGAGACGCGGTCTTGCCAGGTTGCTCAGGCTGGTCTCGAACCCCTGAGCTCAGGCAGTCCTCTCACTGGGATGACAGGCAACGCGCTGGCTAATTTTGTTTTGTTTTCTTTTTTTTTTTTTTTGAATCAGAGTCTCATTCTGTTGCCCAGGCTGGAATACAGGGGCACGCTCACGGTCACCACAGCCTAGACCTTCTGGACTCAGGCAATTCTTCTTTCTCAGCCTTCCATATTCAGCTTTAAAAAGGAATGAAAAAAACCTCAAACTATAAGAACCTTAGAAAACGCAGGAGAAAAAAAAATGGAATGAAGACTGGACTCACGCCTGTAGTCCCAGCACTTTGGGAAGTGGAAGTTGAGAGGTTCTTTGAGACTAGGAGTTCAGACTCGCCTGGACAACATAGCAGGCTAGTCCAAAAAATCAAATTCTGATACATGCTACAAAATGGATGAAAGTTATAAGATAAAAGGGTACGGTGGTTCACACTATAATCTCAGCATTTTGGGAGGCAGAGGCAACAGGGTTCCCTGCGCTCAGGGGTTTGAGATCAGCCTGGGAAACTTGACTAAAACAAAAAAGTTATAAAAAAAACTTTTTGAGTAGGACTCTCACTCTGTCACCCAGCTAGAGTGCAGTGGCACACTCATGGCCACCTAAGCCTCGACCTGCTGGGCTCAGGTGATCCTTCTGCCTCAACCTTCCAAGTAGCTGTAACAACAGGTGCATGCTACCACGCCTGGCTTATTTTTTTAATGTATTGTAGAGAAGAAGTTTTACCAAGTTGACCTGACTGGTCTCGAACCCCTGAGCTCAGACATTCTTCTCACCTCGGCCTCCCAATGTGCTGGGATTACAGGCTTGAGCCACCACACCTGGCGAGTCTGACAATTTATTATTTTATTTTTTAGAAAGCAAGGTTTATTGAGAGAACAGAAAAGCTCCCACAGTGGGAGGGGACCTGAAGGGGTTGCCTGAGTCTGACAATTTAAAGGGACTCACATTTCTCAGATAACTGTCCTTTTTTTTTGAGTTGGAGTCTCACTGTTGCCCAGGCTGGAATGCAGTGGCATGCTCACGGCCACTGCAGCCTCGACTTCTCAACCTGCTGGGCTCAGGTGATTCTTCTGCCACAGCTTTCCAAGTAGCTGGGACTACAAACGTTTGCCACCACGCCTGGCTAATTTTTTGGTTTATTGTAGAGATGAGGTCTTGCCAGTTCCCCAGGCTGGTCTTGAACCCCTGGGCTCAGGCAATCCTCTCGCCTCTGCCTCCCAAAGTGCTGGGATTACAGAGTGAGCCACCACACCCTGCTTTTTTCTTGTAACTTTAGTCCATTTTGTATCATGTATCAGAATTTAATTTTTTTTTTTTGTAGACAGTCTTGCTATGTTGCTCAGGCTGGTCTCTAATTCCTGGATTCAAACAGTTCTCTCACCTCCACTTCCAAAGTGCTGGGACTACAGGTGTGAGTCCAGTATTCATTCTTTTTTTTTTTTTGAGTTGGAGTCTCATTCTGTCACCCAGACTGGAGTGCCGGAGCACGCAGACACGCTCATGGCCATCGCAGCCTCCACCTGCTGGGCTCAGGTGATCCTTCTGCCTCAGCCTTCCTAGTAGCTGGAACTACAGGTGCATGCTACCACACCTGGCTAATTTTTGTTTTTTTGTAGAGACATGGGCTCATCAAGTTGCCCAGGTGGTTCTCGACCCTGTAGGCTCATGCAATTCACACGCCTTGGCCTCCCAAAGTGCTGGGATTATAGGCGTGAGCCACCGCACCCAGCCTTCATTCTTTTTTAAAGCTGAATATGGAAGGTTGAGGTGGAAGGATCCCCTGAGCCTAGCAGCTCTAGGCTGTGCTGGCTGTGAGCATGCCACTGCACTCCAACCTGGGGGACAGAGTGAAACTCCGACTCCCAGTCAATCAATCTGCATAATATTTGTGTGGTTGGTTTTTCCAAGACCCTTCTGGCAGCCGTGTGGAAACTGAAGGGACGGAAGGGGCTGGGCTCAACGGAAGCAGGGAGGCCTGGCAGGCACATGCCCACCCTGGGGGAAGGGATGGTAGTTGATGGGGGGGGAGTTCCTTGTGTCATCTGGGAGGGCACGGGCAGGACGTGAGTGTGGTGTGCTTGTTTGCTCTGAGAACTACACTCTGACCTTTTTTACCTTGCCAAATTCCTAACTAAGGGGCCTAAATTAATTCTTTTTTTTTTTTTTTTTGAGTCGGAGTCTCACTTTGTTGCCCAGACTGGAATGCAGCAGCCGCTCCCGGTCACCGCAGCCTCGACCTGCCGGGCTCCGGCGATCCTTCCGCCTCAGCCTTCCAAGTAGCCGGAATTACAGGCATGCGCTACCATGCCCGGCTGATTTTTTTATTTATTGTAGAGATGAGGTCTCGCTGCCCAGGCAGGTCTCGAACCCGCGGGTTCAGGCAGTCCACTCGCCTCGGCCTCCCAAAGGCGCAGAATTACAGGCTGAGCCACTGAGCCCAGCTCTAAATTAATTCTTTACAGTGTTTACTTTCCCACCTGGCTCTGGCATACCATCAAGTAACAAATAAAGGAAAATCAAATAATTTTTCATTATTTTATTTTAAAGATGTGAGTACACTTTGAGAGGCTAAGGCAAGAGGATTACCTGAGCCCATGGGTTCAAGACCAACCTGGGCAACTTGGCAAAACCTCATCTCTATAATAAATCAAAAAATTAGGCCGGGCACGGTCAAGCCTGTAATACCAGCACTTTGGAATGCTGAGGGGAGAGGATTGCCTGAGCCCGGGGGTTCGAGACCAACCTGGGCAACTTGGCGACACCTCTCTACAATAAATAAAAAATTAGCTGGGCATGGTAGTGTGCACCTGTAGTTCCAGCTACTTGGAAGGCTGTGGCGGAAGGATCGCCGGAGCCCAGCAGG